TTTTTTGAAACGTGAAAAAGTAGCTGCTAATGAGCTCTAAATTATCCCATGTCGAAAACCAAATTTTGTTAATTTTTTAACCATTTGTTCTGCTAACTTGCGGTAAGGTAGCTTCGACGCCGTTTTTCTAAAAACTGGGTTAGTTAAAAATTTTTTTGCATACGTAGAAAATTAGCTCCAGATTTTTTAAATGATTATTCTGCTAACTTACAAAAAAAAACTAGCATGAATACGTTTTTTTTTAAATGGCATTGACAGAAAATTTTTTAGGTACATATAAAATTAGCTCATAATAAGCCGCACCGCTATTGTTTCCTGAACGGTATAAAAATGAAAACTTTTGGAATAATAACAAATTATCCGATAATGATTTTTCAATTATCCAATGTCAAAAAGGATTTTTTATCACTTTCACAAATGTGGTCATTCCTACATTTTGTGAAAAAGAAACATTGAATTTTTTTATTAAAAAAAAACATTTTTTGAGAAAAAAACATTTTTTTTCAACAATTTTTCGAAACGTGAAAAATAGCTGCTAATGAGTTGTAAATTATCCCATGTCGAAAACCAAATTTTGTTAATTTTTAACCATTTTTTCTGCTAACTTGCGGTAAGGTAGCATCAACGCCGTTTTTCCAAAAACTGGATTAGTTGAAATTTTTTTTGCATACGTAGAAAATTAGCTCTTAATTAGCTTTAAATGATGCGATATCGGAAATTTAATTCTATTGATTTTTTAAATGATTATTCTGCTAACTTACAGAAAAGCTAGCAGAAACACTTTTTTTTTTTAAAACGGCACTAGCAGAACAGTTTTTGGATGAATATAAAATTAGCTCATAATAAGCCGCAACGCTATTGTTTTCCAAACGGCATAAAGATGAAAACTTTTGGAATTATAACAAATCATCTGGTAATGATTTTTCAATTATCCAATATCAAAACTGTTTTTTTTGCCACTTTTATGAATGAGATTTAGTTCATTTCTACATTTCAGTCTAAAGTATGTAAATGCGTCGTTTTGTCAAAAAAAAAAACAAAAATTCAGAAAAAATTTTGTTTTGAAAAAAAATTTGTTTTTTTTTAATTTTTGAAACGTAAAAAAATGCTGGTAATGAGCTCTAAATTATCTCATATTGAAAACGAAAGTTTGTACATTTTTTAACCATTTTTTCTGCTAACTTGCGGTAAGCTACCATTGACGCCGTTTTTCTAAAAACTGGGTTAGCTGAAATTTTTTTGAAAACGTAGAAAATTAGCTGTTAATTAGCTTTAAATTATCCGATATCGAAAGTCGAATTCTATTGATTTTTTAAATAATTTTTCTGCTAACTTACAAAAAAGCTAGCAGAGACACGTTTTTTTTCAAAAACGGTATTAGCAACAAAAATTTTGAAGGCATATAAAATTAGCTCATAATAAGCTGCAAATTATCCAATATTGAAACTTCGATTCTGTTACTTTTGCCTGCTAGGTTAACATACGTACCCTCATCATCTAGTCAGAGAATGAAATTATTTTGGTCTGGAAAACAGGGGAAAGTAGGTATTTTCGGAGAAACTTTCTGCTGAACACCCTGAATAAGTTCGATTTTCACCGAGAATTTTAAATTGAAGTTTAATGCATGAATTTTACGATTAGCGCCAATGCATAAATAGATTATTAGAAAGTATGAAACTGGAATTCAGTAGATAAATGAACACTTTCTATTTTATGGAAAAAGAACAAAAAACAAAAAATCGATTAAATCTGATTCCAACAAACAAAATTCGAGGATCATGGAACTAATCATTTCCTAGTTTGTAACAACTTGTGAAAGCTCCCTACAAACAAAAACAAATATTTTCGTAAACAAGCAGGAGTTAGCGCCTTTTTTGGCCATCTGACCGTTACCTTATGTGTTATAACTTTTTTTCTTTCTTTCATTTCTACCAATTCGATTGGTAGTAAGTTTCCGAATGGGATAGAAGGCATTCGGATAGAAGGCATCAAAACAAATATTTTGAAAAAAAAAAATTAAAATCGGTTGCGTAGTTTTTAAGCTATTGCACATGAAAGGTTTTCAGAGAAAGTCAAATATCTCGGAAACTACCTATGCGATTGAGCTCATTTTCAATACGAAGTATTGGTATCATGAGAGGAAGTTCTGTACAAATTTCAAGTTGATATCTCAATTTTTGTACAAGCTAGAGTGATTACGAGGATTTTTATGAATAAACAGAAAAACGGAAATATCTCGAAAACTTTGTTTGAATGGGTATATATGTTTTGATTGATTCGGATAGAAGGCATCGAAACGAATATTTTGAAAAAAAAAATTGAAATCGGTTGACTAGTTTCGAAAATATTAGCGAAAAACGATTTAAAAACGAATAGCTTTTTCTCCAAAAATATTTGATCAATCGGGCTGAACTTTTGCACAGAGTTAGTCCTTATCAAGGTCTATAATCTGACAAAATTTCAGATTTTTTGAAATAAGTTTAGCCAGTTAATTTCTCAATATTCCAAAAATTGACCACCGGAAAGGTGGCGATGGACATTGACACCGACAGCCATGGTCGCGCAAACTTCGTATTTTTACGTTTCAGACCCTTTTACATCATTTCCAATCAGAATTAGAGAATGTGAAAACAGCACGATTATAATGCCTCCATTCGGAAGCCAAAAACTGGAAAATTTCCGGTTGGTTCCTTCCAGAAATTGAGGATCGAAATTATTGTTTTTTTGAAACATACAACTTTTATAGGAAATTAAAAAAAAAAAAGAAATGAAGATAAAAGCCAAGTGTTTGCAGGTTTTAATTATGTCCAAATTTCTTCTCGCATGGGCCAATCATGTTACTATTTTTTTCGTCAGATGGCTCAATACCCCGATTAGAAATTTGACTCGACAAACCCTTCGGCCCTGATGCGGCATGCCGAGCCTGACGTTCGGTGCTGGCGTGGTCAACCGAGTCCGGCCCAGATGAGGTGCATTACGCGAGTTTCACGTTCGGGCCGGATCATGGTTGCCGTATCCAAGCCGACTCGTGGGGGCCAATTAAAATTATTACCCATCTTATTGGTAAATTATCATCAATTATTGCTCATTCAATCGCCACTCTCAAAATTATTCCGAAATTTTTTAAATGACACCGGTTTAATACTTTCATACATATGTACACATGGATGATTCGACTATTCACGATCTTTCTTAATAATGTAAAAAAAAAGAAAATAATTATATGCTATCAAAATTGATCATCTGTTATTTACCGCTTTTGACTCCCTAACGTATTTATCGCTGAGAAAGCGATTTTTTTTTACCTAAAATATTCCACCCATGACTGGTTTCGAACCCGGGACCTACAGATTACTAATCCTACGCCTTAGTCTACTAGCTTTTTTTTTCATAATGTTTATTCAGTACTGATACATATATTATATAATGGTGTTAAATCTACGACTAAAAAAATACACCGAAAAGAACAGAAATCATAGCTTAGTTGGCAGTTTTGCAGCTTCACAAAAGTTTTTAAGTGATTGGGTATGATGGTATCACAAATGCTGGGTTTTGGTGGCAATAAGTTGTGCTTGTGAGCCTTGTTGTCATTCGGCTCATTGGCCATGTTTGGGGAATCAGTGGAAAAGGGGCAGCTGAGGGAAAACCACTGATTGTTTGTCTGATGTTGAACTTAGCCTAAATAAATTAATTATGTACACTATTTACAAACTTAATACTACAGAAAGTCAGACTTATTATTTTTTAGAGGGAATAGGTCGGTGGTTATCTTTAGTTGTTCCTACGCCGAGGATTTTTCCTGACGTTGCGAGTTATCTCTTTCACTTTCTCTTTAGTCGAGCTTGAAGTGACTGGATACCAATGGCAGTGTCATCGAACTACCAGTACATTGGGAGCAGTCGACTATCATCGTGGTAGTCGCGCAATGGCATTGCCTTAGAGTAGACTTCGTCGGACTCTGGATCTCCTGGCAGCGCGATTTTTTTTTGTGTCTGCTTCGGTGGAACAGCACTGGAATATTATTCGAGTCTTGAATAATACCCAGTCTGTCAAAGTTCATAAATGCTTGAGGCTGAGGGTAGCCAATGCGTGTTGCTGCATTGATGATTATGGGGTCCAAGATGCTCAAGTCATTGATCACTTTGTTGCCAATGTTTGGCAGGTGACTATAATGGTCTCTGGTGAATCTAAGGCAGAAGGAGTCGATCATGGGTATGTCAGCTACATCATATAGTGCCTTGTTGCTGACTCGTCTTTGGTATTTGGAATGTGCACTTTCGCTCAAAAAATCTTAGGTTCTCCACCTGAGAGGCGCTGATGTTCCACCAAATTGGGCAGGCATACGTGAGGAGAGGTCTGACAAGCAGCAGGTAGCACATTATTCTTGCTTTCTCCGTGATGTACTTATTGTGGAACAGATTACCTAGTGACTTGTATCATTTTTTGGCCTTAGCCAACTAGCCTACCGCGCTATTCGTGCATTTTAATATTCGTACTGTCTATGTAAACCACGGTCGCCGGCACATACATATTTTCATCATGTTTTTCAACATTTAAATAGTTTGATATGATATTACCAATTATAAATTCACCCCCCCTTCCACATCTACTTTCGGCAGATATTCGGTAGACATTCAGCCATCGGCTAGGATTTTATCAGTGTCTGATATATATAGGAGTCTTGAAGGTTTAACAGGTCACAAACAAACAGGATTTATTTATTTATTCAATATAAATGACTTTTATTCTCTCAATGATGATACAGCGTCTAATCAATCTGCCATTTTGCACATAACTAACTGCAACTCATTACTGCTACCGTAAGGGCGGCCAAAATATTAAACTGTAACCAATGCGGGACTTTCAAATTGAAACATTTCCAACATCCTTTCATCTTGGGTTTGATTTTTCGAATATCTAACTCAACAAACCTATATTAATCAAATTTAACTCAATCAACTCAAAAAAACTTTCAGAATAAAAATTCCTTTTTTCTTTTTTCACAACTCCATCCTGGATGGCTTCTTAATTGATCGGCCGTTACGTGAGCACTTCTTTGCCGCTGGTTTCTCTGGTAGTGTCTCGGGGACAACTGGATCCTCCTTCTGATTCTCCTCTAGAACCTTACGCCTTCTCGAATTCTTACTTGACACCTCATGTAATTTCTTTAGCAGTGGAAGTATCTCTTGATCCGACTCAACTGACAATTTCAATAGATAAACTCGTTGAACTGATCTGATCATTTCCCCAGAGGCAGTTTTCAATCTCAAGACTCGTACGTGTCCATCACGTCCCTGAATAGCCTCCTTTACCAGAGCCAATGGCCAATCCAAGCGTTTTGATGAGTCATTGCCAATTAAAATAACTTCCCCTGGTTTTATACAGTGCTCGAGGAGCTCCTGAGATTGTCTGCGAGAAAACTGACCGAAATATTCATCACGAAAACGTTTCCTCAAATCAGTTTTCAATTTGATGCGATACTTCAATCTTTTCTTCAGAGTAGTGTTATCAATAGAATCTAAATCGGGCACTCCCACCTCCTGCAGATCCTGGATGAACATAGCTGGAGTGAGCGGCGCCAATTGAGTTGGATCTTCTGTCATGTAGGTGATTGGACGTGAATTTATCACAGCTTCGCAGTCACACAATACTGTATTCAGCTCCTCGTAGTCCAAGCAAGCTCTACCTAAAACGTTCCTCAGAAGATCCTTCACAGATCTGACCATCCTGTCCCAGAAACCTCTCCACCAAGGTGCTGTACTCAATTACCTTTTCCCAATTCACACCTTTCATAAGGTTTGCTGCTCCAGTAAAATTCGTTTCGTCATCACTGAATACAACCGATGGTCTACCTCTTCCTGCTATCATTCTTCTCAATGTCTCCAGAAAGGAATTAGTTGAAAGTGAAGAAATGAGTTCCAGGTGGATTGTCCGATAAACAGCACAAGTGAATAAGCAGATCCACGCTTTCCTGCCATCGCGAAGGAATAATGGGTCGGCGTAATCGACACTACATACCTCGAATGCCGCTGCATCTCGAACATGTTCCTCTGGCAAGGGTGCAGGGATTACTTCAGCTCGTTTCGCATTACATCTTCTGCAAGTGACGCATTTGGAGACAACCTTACGCACAGCTCGACGCGCACTCAGAAGCCACACTTTCTCCCTCAATTTATTCATGACTACCTGTATTTCTGCATGATTCAAATTTCGATGCTTTTCTTGAATGTATAGAAGCACCAATGGATGTGAAGAGTCCAAGACCACTGGATGACGAAACCCAAATATATCCGTTCTGCTTGACATCAGTCTTCACACGAATGAGTCCCCCTTGATCGCCATATGGACTTCAACAGTTGATTCTGGAATGTTTAATTCCATTAAACGATTCCTCTTGGATATACTGGAAACGTTTTCGTTCTGCCTCTTCCAATTCTTTAACTCCGAGCTTGCCTCCGAGTCTCTCATCAGCACCCTTTTTTCAATTACTGACAAATCTCAGAACCCCAGCCAGTCCTATCTTGATCTCAATAAAGAGAGACAAACCGTCCATATACAAAGGAATGCTCTCACCTGGACTCTGTTTATTCCCAGTTTGGCCCTGTTGAAACAATCCCACCGCTGTTGGTGTCGTCTCCCTGGTGACTGTCTTTTTTACTTCCTGATTTACCTCACTCTTGTCGACACTCTGCTCTCATTGAGGCCATTGGTTTAGAGGATCTCTCAGCCACACGGGGCCTTCCAACCAATTAGCATCGATCAGATGTTGTGCATCACAACCTCTTGAAGGTAAATCTGCTGGGTTCATTTCTCCGGGCACATGTCTCCAATTTTGATTATCTGAGAGGCGACGTATTTCTTGGACCCGATTCCAATCAAAAGTAGCCCATTGAGTCTCTCTTTTAATCCATGTCAGCACTGTTGTCGAGTCACTCCAATAATACTTATCCATCTGATCAAGCTCGGGTGCTCGGACTACACTAGACATCAATCGAGCTCCCGTCGTTGTTGCCAAGAGCTCTTGTCTAGGAGTTGTTGTTTTTCCTGTGGGTGCCACTCTACTCTTTGCTTCGATAAACTGCACACTGACTCCTTGGCTACTTTCAGTTCTTGCAAAGAGTACTGCTGCATATGCATCTCCACTGGCATCCACAAACATGAAGAGAAGTCGTTTTATCTCCATTACCCTCAAACATCCAGCGAGGAACATAAATCTTTTTCAAACGTGGTAGTTTATCGTACCATTCACAGAATTCACGTTTTAGCTCGGCACTCACTTCGGTATCCCAGTCCAGTTGTTTCTCCCATAATTTCAGATAATTTTAATTCATCAGTCACCCTATCCCAGACGAGACCAAGCACAGTGCTGCCACTGTGTTCCCATCCTCTTAAATCAAAACCTCCAGCTATCATCACCTCGGTGGATTTCATTTTGAAGACATTAAGCTCATCACCCGATGAGACGCTAGTCACACAGTTGTCTACATAAAAGGATTTGATCAGCTTGAAGACAGAGTCACAGGCCTCTGGAGTGTTGGCTCGTCGAAGGGCTTCTTCCAAGTGAAACTCGATTGTGGCTCCCAATAGAAAAGGACTGCTAGACACTCCAAAGATAACTCTACGATGCCTATAAATTTCTCTCTTCGAAGGATCTTCCTTATTCCACCAGAGGAACCGTAACACATCTTTGTCTGAAGGTGCAACACTTATCTGCAGAAAAGCTTTTCGAATATCGGAGATCACACCAATTTCTTTTTCTCTGAAGTGAAGTAAAGCTTCTGGGATGAGTTCTATCAAATTCGTTCCAACTTCTAGATACTGATTCAATGAAGGGCTCGATTTCCCACTAGCAGAAGCGTCAAACACTGGACGTAATTTCGTCGTACTATTCTCTTTCAAAACGTATCTGTAAGGCATGTAGTACGCGACTTTTCCACTTCTTGCTCTGGAACCTTCTCAATGATCCCTTCCGATTCCCATTCAAAAGCCTATTGGTAATCCTGGTAGACTCCTGCTTTCTTTAGCTTGACGGTCGTTGACTCTAACCTTCTCTCAGCACTTAGTTTGTTATCGACCAACGGTGGGTGTTTTTCGTTCCACGGCAGCATCACTTCATATCGTCCTTCCTCATTCATATGAATCGTCTGACGAAATTTTTCTTCAACTTCCTTGTAGTGCATCGGTTTCATCTCCTTTTCTATTGAGTCGGTGATGCCAAGAACATCCAACTTCCATAATTCAGTGGCATCAGCCTGTTGAATAAACATTGTCACGACAAAATCAGCAGTGTCGACTTTATCATTCACCTTTGATAGATTTTCCCCATTAAAGTCCATCCCACCTTAGTCTCCATTGCAGTAGGGCCATTCTGAAAATCATGAAGCCTGCCAGTGAGTAGCTTTCCAGCAACATCTGCACCTTTCAATAGCGATATTGGTTCACCACTGGTCCCCACATCTGTCAGCTGAATGTTTTCTTGTCGTAATTCATCCAACTATGGCTCAGGATTGACTCCCTGGATATTGTGGTAAATTGATGAATGATCCAGAGCCACAAAATTGCATGGAAAGGACCCATCCAGACCGCTGAGATGCACTCGATAACCCTTGTGATGTTCTGCCTTACTTTTCGCACCTCCGAAGAGCAAATGGACAATTTCTTGTTCATCAAGAGTTTCATAACCCAAAACTCGGGCTGTATCTTGCAAAATATACGACCTTTGGGATCCAGTGTCGATGTGAGCTCTCACCACTTGTTCTTGATCACCATTACGTAATTTAACTCTGAGTGTCTGCAGAAACACCTCCTCTGTGAGAGAAAAATTAGCTAGATTTGCTTCTTTCAGTTTCTTCATAGGATCTGGCTCTTGAGAGGGATTTACCGGGACAGAACCACCGTTGAAATTCTTACACATGAGCAGGACGTGCTTATCCCCACACCAAAGACATTTGGTTCAATAACGACACCACTTGTGACTGTGTCCTTTCGGTAAGCAGTAGAAGCATGCGTTCTTGTCTTTTGCTACTTTCTGACGTTCTTCAAAAGATAACTTCTTAGCCTTGAAACAGTCTGAGAACCTCGTGATCTCCGCAAAAAATACACTCCAGTGTCTTAGTATCTTTGATAGTAAGAAGCCCAGCTGCTGTTGATACCTGATTACCTTTTGGATTGCTGTCAGCTTTGGACTTATTCTTTGGTTTCGGTGTCGACCCATTGATTAAATCCAAACCTCCAACTGCGATGGCTATCCTTTCTTCATTTTCCACCTCAGCTTCGAGAAACTCCATCAACCTAGTCAACCTGTCCTGACGAGTGATAGAGGTCGACCCACTTGATCCGTTGGTTGCAGGTGTGCTCACTTGTCTCTGCCAGACTCGTAACATTTCTTCAGGCAAGGACGACTCCACCAATGGATAAAGCATGGCAGTACATGTATCAGTCGTGACTCCCAACGATTTTAAAGCTCTCATCTGAGTTTTGAGTTTGTCGAAAATACTCGTCAGTGGAACTTGCCCTTGTGGTGTAACTGCATTTGTGAGTACCAACTTTAATAACTCCCTCACGTATACCTCCGCCAGTAATTCACGTCGACCAAATCTAGTTTTCAGAGCTTCGATGGCTTTATCATAATTTTCCTCGGTTGGTGGAAAACTATTGTCCAACTCATAATATTGCCAGTCATAGTATTAGAGGCCAGTCATAATATTGTTGAGAAATGTTACCTGATCCACATTGTTGGCTTGTGTTATAGGTTGGGAGTCCTCTATGAATTTCTCAACTCTGGTTTTCATTTTCAAATACGTCATCTTATTCATCACACTTCACGACATCTGTCTCTATATCTGGATCTGCCCTATTATCTTTAACCATCATCTTAAATATCATTTTATCATATGCCTCTAGTTCCTTAGCTTTAGTAGTCAGGAGAGACAATGAAACTTGTATGTTAGATAATTGAGGATTTTCTGCAGACAGATCTATTTTGCATATTTTGTGCATGCGAGTGAACCCAGAGCGTGCTATTCCCCTTGCCTTCACGTACTCATCCATTATGTTAATTTCCTTCTAGAGGTGTACACAGGTCCTGTCACGGTCGCCAAAATGATATATATATAGGAGTCTAGAAGCGTTAACAGGTCACAAACAATCAGTATTTATTTATTTACAAGGGGGCTTCGCCCCCTGCTCGCTCCGCTCGCCAACCTCGGGGGGGCTTCGCCCTACCCCGCTCGCTTCGCTCGACCCCCCCCCCGCCCCTTTGTGACCGAGCTGATGTGACAGTAAAGGTTTTGTTAAACCTCATTATCGGAAGGTGGTTAGGAAAGAGTAAAAGAAAGAACCGAATAGGATGACAAAAAAATAGAGTGCAATGAAGCTCGTTATAAAACAAGTTCCGGAGAAACATCAGGTCTCTAACGTATTTCAAGTGAGTTTCTATCAAAATGAAAATGGTGTTATCTATATAGAAATTCATTCTCCTTTCATTCGGCAGGCTCTCTGTGCACCAGATCATCAATTACTTCCCAGTTAAAGAATTCATCACGATATCCTCCTTTATTAGCGTTTCTTATGGCCCTCATGTACAGAACATTTGGGTTGCTCGTTGTCATCCCAGTTATCAGTCTGTCATGAAAGAATGAACGTTGTATTATTTTTATGTATATTCTTTTTCTTGAAAAACAAGGTCCAAACAATACTTACATTTTGAGGGTGGATTTGTTCAAAAGGAACGTTATAAAATAAAGTATGGGGATCAAAGATATCCCAGCATTCTTTACACTGCTCTCTATTCCATAAATCATTTTCAATCTCAAAATCTTGAGACTGGCGAGTTCTCTTGTCGTGGATGTTTTGGGCTTCTGCGGTCCATATTTTTTTATAGGTTTCGCCGAGAGTTTTGGCTATGAAACCATAAGACGCGTAAATCCAATTTGTCCACGTAGGCACATAGGCATAGGTACATAGGCAAGAGTTTAAAGTATTCATTTACTTAATAAACCTATGACTACTGAACACTCTTGTCATTGTTTGGAAGACCAGAAAGTTGATAGTGAAGTATAGACAGAATCCCATTACTGAATGCAAACATTGTCACGGTAGCTTGAATTCTCATGTTTTCGTCTTCTTTTTTCATATTTGACAGTCCTAATGTCAAACTTGATCCATCTAAAAATTTCGTTTCTGCAATTATGAGAAAGGCTCTATTTATAAAATAAGTTTTTATAAATAATTATTTCACTTACTCTTAAACTCGGTTGGTCACTTCACAATGTATATTAGCACCCACAAAAATATTACTGGATTCCAATGAATTTTCTTCTGGGTTTGCAATGTGATACCCACAATTTTCGCAATGAATAGCCAATGATTATGCTTGGAATGAAGTTGGCTTCGACAAACAGAAGAAAGAATAGAAGGGTGGAAGAATGGTATCTATGATGGGAAGAATATTCTTCCGATTTGTCTAAGTTGGGTTCGGCTGGCCAGATGGGGTATGTCTTATCTGGGCCTTATGAGAACCACATGACGTATACTCTATTCGGCATGCCTGACGAAAAACGAGACTCGCGCCGAATTCGGTGGAGGCTAAATCCGGCATGCCGTACATAAATTCTAGTCGGGACCATGCCAGCTCCCGAGTCAAATTTTTAACGGGTTTCCCGATGTAGTTTCAACGTTTTGAACGTACATTGCTTTGATTTTCAAATTTTCCGCCGAATTTTCACCGTACTTTCAACTTATCTCAACGTGAAGGCCCATGGACATTGAAAAACACTCAATATCCACCGTATATTAAACGTACTCTCAACGTTGATGACATTTATTTTCTGTTAACGTACGTTGTAAGTTTCGACGTCCACATTTGATTGTATCAAGTTTATTATTGACGATAATTAAAAAATTCATTACCGTGGTAAACACTCACGTAACTAAATTATTAGTGTTAGTACATTAATAACATTAGTTCGAAGTTCAAACAATCGTACGTCTGAAGGGTGAGTTGGGTCCAAGGGTCAGAGGGGTTAGTTGAGTAAAAGGAGCAGTTGAGTATAAGGGTCGGATGAATATAAGGGTGAGTTAAGTCCAAACGATTACGCAAATCTAAGTGTCAGATAAGTGAAAACCTCAGTTGAGATTGAATATCAGTTAAGTTTTAAGGTGAGTTGAGCCTAAGGGTCAAAAGAGTACGAAGGGTCAGGCGAATCCAAGGGTCTGTTTTGTAAGGGTCAGATAATTAAAAACCTTAGTTGAGTTCAACTCTCAGTTGAATTTAAGGGCCAGTTGTGTGTAAGGCTCTACTGAGTGTATGGGTCAGATGAGTGCGAAGGCCCTATTGGGCCTGAGAGTCAGATGAGTCTAAGCCGAGGATAAGGGTCAAATGAGTCTGAGGGTCAGATCGATGCTGAGGGTCAGGTGAGCCAAAGCTCATCTGACTTTTAGATTGAACTGACTCTTAAACTCAACTCAGCCTTTTACTCATCTGACCTTTAGATTCGCCTGACCCGTCGTACTCTTTTGACTCTTAGGCTCAACCGACTCGTAGATTCGCGTGATCCTTCACACTCCACTGACCCTTAAATCAGCCTGACCCTTTGTAGTTGTTTGGCCCTTAGACTCAACTGAATCTTAGATTCGCCTGATCCGTCGGACTCAAATAACCCTTAGACCCATCTGGCCCTTAAACTCAACTGATACTTGGACGCAATTGACCTTTAAACTGAACTGAAGCTTTTGCATATCTGACCCTTACTCAACAGACCCTCAAATTCGCATGATCCTTCGGACTCAACTAATCGTTAGATCCATCTAACCCTTAAACTCAACTATCACTGAGACGCATCTAACCTTTAAACACAACTGAGACTTCTACTTATCTGACCCATACTCAACTGACCCTTATATTCACCTGACCCCTCCTACCCTTTTAACCCTCAGATTCGTGTGATTCTTTCCAGATACTTCAATTGACGAATTCAATTTTTCTCAAATTTTTCCGGTCGACCAGTCGATAACAAGGTGAATAAAACGACGTGTTGTGGCAATTCCCTCGCATGGTGACCACTCTAGGGTTAAACTCAACCGAGCGTTTCACTTATCTGACCTTTACTGAACTGACCCTTACATTTGCTTGACCCTTCGTACTCTTTTGACCTTTAGGTTCAACTGACCCTTAGATTCGGGTAATCCTTCAGACTCAGCTAACTCTTACACTTATCGGATCTTTACACTCGCTGACTTTTATATGAAGGGTCCGACACTTAGACCTATATAGACTCTAATTCCCTCTCATCTCCTCCCCCTGCTCCTTCCCTCTTAATTTCCTGTATTACTCTATTGCCTACTTTCTTTCTTTTTTTCCCTATTTTTCTTCTTATTACTTGCTTACAAGCTACAAGCAACTGTACAGTTTAGAAACATATCGGGATATCCTGCGATCACTGAGCTTGAGCAGTAGCGAGTAAAACCAGAAAAAGGATGGGTGACCGATAAGGAACATGACAGAACAAGCAGGGATATCTCGAGAATCAATGGACCGATCTGTTTTTTTCTTTTTTTCCCATTTTTGTTTCACCGAGTTAATCATATTTATATTTTTGCCATTCTTTCACCGATTAATTTATGCAAGATTTAATCCATTAATCGATGTTAGAATGGAACTGGTAGTGTGAAGAGGGCAGGGGGGAGGAAGGAAGGAAAGAATGTACGGTGGAGGAACGTTGGGGATACGTGTAGTTTCAACCTAATTTCAACGTACAATCTGGAAAAAATGGAAAAAAGAAAGGGTATTTACGTTACGTTGAATCGGTGCATTTGAGCCTGTATACTGGACAACGTATTTTCAACGTCCTAAATCCACCAGTCGACTTTGAAACTACGTTCGGAGACCCGATAAAATTTCGCCTCGGGCTGGAAAGAAAACGGTGATACCAGAAGAGGGATGACCTAATATATCATCTTATCATCAGCGACTTATGATTTATGCTAGGATACGCGCTATTGAACCAAAATCATTCGAAAAATTCTATCAGTTGCAGAAACTCACACTCCGCAAAGGTCAGTTAACTGCTCTACAAGCTGAAATCTTCGAGGGTCTCAAACAATTGCATTATTTAAATTTGGGGAGCAATCAAATGACTGTTTTATGTAACCATACCTTCAGTAAACTGACGCAATTGAGAGAATTTCATTTAGATGACAACAGAATCAGTGAAGTCCAATCTGAAGCCTTTTCTGTTTTGAATCTTCGCACCATCGATTTACATAACCATAGCTTGACAAGTGTACCCGTTGGGGTTTTTCGAAATCTATTGGATTTGGAGACTTTAAACCTCGGATTCAATAAAATCAGAACAGTGCCCTACAATGATCTTCAAGGAAGCATTCAACTTCGATGGCTACATTTGGATAATAATGAAATATATTATATCGACACCAGTGCCTTCTGGGGTTTTAATTTCCACATTCTCGATTTGAGCCACAATAACTTGACTGTTCTAGATACGAACACATTCATAGGTCTCACTGTTGATGATTTATTAGATCTACATTCCAACAATATCACAGAAATCAAGTCAGAAGCATTTAACAACTTGTCTGCTAAGAAGGTGTTACTTTGCTACCAGAATATGACACAAGTTGACAAAGTCAACTGGAGTGTGGAGGATTCAATTGCCGAGATCGCTATCAACGATTGCCCGCTTACTGAAAAATTAGAATATTGTTATCGAGGATTTTGCAAAGGGCATTCCGTTCGCAAGACGAAATGTGGAAATATCCAAGCCATAATAATGGTATGGACATCAGT